ATCGATCTTATTCAGTTTCATTTAATTTGTCAAATGTTGGCGCAATTTTCTGGGGTTGAATGCGAAACGAACGTGTTTAAGTTTTGTTTTGGGTTTATAAAGCAAGCTCGTGAAATTAGGAAGTTTCATGTCGCAGTCGTGCAACGGAGGCTAAGAACTGTACAAAAAGGCAAGATGCACGTGCAAAGTTGTTGTTTTGCTAACATAAACTCACTGCATTTTAACTGTTCTCGTTGCCGTGGCGGTCGTCGTTGCTTTAACTCCCTGTTGTTGTGATCCAGTAATTTTGCTACCGTGGTAACGTGACGTCACCCTTCTCATCGTGCAGAATGCCTATTGTTTGTTAAAGATTGAGGTAAATTAAAGCTGCATTGAACCTGTGATATATAAATGAACAATTTTAGTTAAAATTAATAGAAAATATTAAAGGTGTAAAATGGAACCGATATGATTGATGACTGACTCGGACGTTTCCATACTGACGATCACTAATAACCCATACGTACGAAAAAGAAAATGCTCAGGTTTTGGTCTAGGTGGCTGAACACAGTTCCTCTAGAACTGCTCTTTCTCTTTACTGTGCATGTCAACTTCTTTGTCAGGAAGAGATATGCAGGCAATAAGCTTTTAAAGAAAAGGTGCAAGAAAAAGCTGAGAAATAAAATGCCTAGAAGTTTGCAGTAGAAATTTATTCTGTTCAGTAGTCACCTTTGACATATTACGTGATCTCAGTAAGCGCAGAAGTGTTGAGCATGCGCACTTAGAGAGCAATCTGAGTGCCGCTTGTTTTATGTCTGAACAAACGACAATATATTAAAATCTACGCAATAAAATTTGACGAAAATTGGCAATCCCGTTCATATCGCATTTCAGTCGATGAAAGCCTCAAAATAAATTTTGAACAAAGAAGTTTTGTGCCACAATCAAGTTTCTGATGAAAACAATTTTCTTAAAAATGTCGAAAACTGTTTATAACAATTTGGTTAGGTCGTTTTGAAAAAAGAGGTCACTAATTGTAAGCTGTGTGCAAACTCATAAGAAAATCTAATGACTGAATTTTTCTTTTACCTAATACATTCAAAATTTTGGCTTACTTTCAATCAGTCATGTTGCCATGGAAACGAACTTAATCTCACTTTTAACCTAATAAATGTCATTTCTTATAGATATATATTGTCCGAGCCAAATTTGAGCTTTAAACCTGCAACGAGGTTTAAGTAACACCCCAATTAATGGTAACGATCCCAACCCTTCAAACTGTGTTCACCTCACCTTCGTTGCTCTCGCTGATTATCAAGACGTCGTACTCGCTCAAGCAAAGTTTCGGTGGTTTTTCGGTAGCAAGGTTTTGAGAGTGAAAAGCCGAACTGAAACATATTCTGCGACAGTTATAAGGGCAATCTGTTCCAGGCTCTAAGATAGTAAGGAAAGCGCACCGAGAAAAGTTGCGTGAAAACCGCAGGGAGCTGGAGAGAGACGGGTAAGTGGAGCCTGTAAGCATTGTTTTCAATACCTCATTCTAGATATACTCTATGATTGGTCAATTTTGACAGTTTATGTCAACCACATCAATTGCTTGGCTTCGCGCACGCAGAGACAAAGAAAACACTGAGCGACCGTGTGAAACCCTAATAAACGGCACATTCTGACATTTTAGCGTTTGTCATTTTGAAACGAGAAACGGTTTTTCTGGAATTGGGACAGGGATGCTTACAGGCTCTCCCTACTCTCTTCCCACTGTTTTTCGCTCACTCGCTTTTGGCACTGCTAGCGCACCAGCTCTTTCCGCTCGTCTGCACTCAGACCTAGAGCATGCTGGCACAGGCTAGTGTCGCAAACCCTCAGTGATGTAGAGGTTTCTACATTTTACGTCGTTATGAAGAATGGAATGGGATAAATCACTAGTCATGCGATGCTTTCTCATGGTATACCGTGAATATCCCACTTGTGACTTGATTTTTCGTTGTATCGTACACTCGCCTAAAGGCTCTTGGGTTACTCCTAGGATATTTCTTGTTAGTAAAATCCAAGTAGTGGTCTATTATCAATGCAGCGTTCTGTTTGGTTGAGCTACTACTATATGCTATATGTTATAGCCCACTAGTAGCGAAAGCGGCGGGCTTTTTGGCGGCAAAAAAGGATTAAAGTCTAACTTTAAGTCGCTAAATTTTTTTTATTCTCGATATTTTTTACCAACTAGTTGAATTTTACTAAAACAATTATTAAATCGATGGACTATTGTAAAAACACTGGAACTGCTTGCTGCTCTTAAGCTGGTTGCACTTTGTGCCACTCGACTTTAGCTTGCATATCCCGTTACGCCTTTTTCCCTCTTTCTCCATGCTGAAAGTCAAACTAAATAGCTTAAAACACTGCATTCAAGTCTCTGTAAGAATACATCCCTCCTCCGTTTTTCCACTAAATGACCCAAAATAGGCATAATAAAATCGCGCGAAATTTAATCGGTGGGTTATAATACAACAGAATTCCGGTCAGTTCAGCCTTTCCTTACAACTGGGCCTCATTAGTTTTTCTACCTTTTCTTTTTATGAATTCCTCAGTGTCCTGCATCCACAGCAATAAAGCTACAATTGGCGACAAAATTAGATGAGACACTTCGCCCTAAAGGGGACTTCTGACGTTTTACGACTTCAAAAGGGGGAACTAAAGCTTTCTCTCCCCCATCCATCCATCCATTATCCCCTCCATTCAATGTTGGGATCACTTTAGGTTTCTTGGAAACAGCTGCCCACCTACCCCTCCCATAAACCAACATTTTCCCCTGAATGAGAAGTTAAGTGTTAATGTTAGCTTAGGGGAGGGGTCGGTGGGCAGTTTCCCAGAAACCTAAACTGAACCCAATGTTGTGCCGCTGTTCGAGCTACCTATAGAAAACAACAAACACCCCAACTTTTGAATGGAGGGGAGAGGAAGGGGTGTGGACTCTTTTGTTCCCCGAAGTTACCCTATTTAAGTACAATGTCTCAACAATTTTGAGCCGATTGTAGCTTTGATAACAGTTCCTTCAGCTGCTCCAGATTTTTCATATTCTATGTTTCATTAGCCTAAGCCCTCGCAGTTACCAAGAATGCAGATATATCTTCAGCACACCTCTAGAGGAATGTTTTTCGGTACTCGGTATGACGGATTGTAAGTTGGTCTTGGTTATCTATGGGGAAAGTTTGGAGTTAAATTTTTAAGACAATTTAGATTGTCAACGAAGTGTCACTGTTCCCTAATTGCTTGTACACTGTCATGAAAATTCAAGGTTTGAAGGTGTTACGGACGCATAAAAATTGGTGTTAATGCTTTTTAAAATTCTTGTGGGATTGGAGCGAAACACTTCTCAGCACGAAACAAGCCACTTAAAGTAAAATACCAATTTTCATAGTGATTTATAATGTTCAAGCAAAGAACCTGTCGTCTTTCCCTATTGGCACAATATCTATGACCAGAAATTATAAAGGAAAGTTTCTGTCAATGAGGTGAGAACAATTAGCGTTTGAAACTGAAATCTACGTACAAAAACATAGTAAGCGGAAAAAAAAACTTTTTTAACTGCAATCTATTGTATGATAAATGGCATTTGTAGAAAATGCACACCTTTTTCGTCTTTTTACCCTTTTAAATTTTTGGATAAAATATATTGTTTTGATAGGAAAGCATCCAAATAAGATAAATATTTCATGCTAAGTTGATAGAATGTTCGAGTTGTTACTTAAAGTGTTAAGTTCGCTAATTAACGCAATGTTCTGTGCGTTTTTGTCTGAATGGTGAAGGATATCTGCTAGAGACAATTCTATCTTAAAGTAATTATTACAGCTTAAGTATTTGTTTTCTGTCCTCCATCGTTTAGTTAGAGGTCTTGTCGTCTTGATGAGAGTACCTTTTCAGACATGCCTTAATAGGTAAAACTGGTGATAATGGTGATAAAAGTTTTCTTTGCTGCTATCGTGTTTTTGGAATTTCTTCAACCAGGTAAAAATATTTTGCAAAAAAAATAGAAAGTGCTGTCTAAAGAGTATTCACAGATATTTCTTTTAGCTTCCATTAAATAACAAAATTCGTGTTTGGTTAATTCAGGCCAGCCTAAGCTACAGAGATTTCATGTCTTTTGAACTGTTTAGAGGATTTTCCATTTGAGATAAAAGAAAAAAATCCGAAAATTTGAAAGCTTGTCCAAAAAATTCAACCTTCCGGTCTTTCCATACTTAACAAACAGGGTTAATCTTGTGTATTTGTTTACCAATCTTATATATATATACATAACTTTTGCCTTTCAAGAGTACTCGGCGTATATCAACGGAGGCCCTCCGATCTTCTCAACTTAACTAGAAACGGATCGGAAGGGCTTCTACTCCCAGCGGGATACCTTAAGGGGGGATTACGGTTAAGCGCCTTTCTTGTATTATAGGTGAGCAATTTTCCTTGAAAATGATGTCAAAACCTCGTCATTCGATTTTAAAAACAAATCACTCATCCTGAAGTTCTTGGAACCATGAATTTTGAGAAGTCTTTGGTGATTATCAGAATATTTGTAATCAATAAAAGTTTGAAGAGCAAATGTTAAAAGTTATGGAAAAATGAGAAAATATTGGATTTAAGGGTAGTTAAGAATTAAAATTTGAAGTGAATAATTACTAGACAAAGACCAGACAGCCCGCTACCACAACAAGGCGGCCCTGAGCCAATTAGTAGACTAACTGGTTTACGTGTATACCCTCTTCTATCCTTCTTTCTTGCATTCTCTATTCCACCCCAATTCCGCCAAAATGAAACTGTAATCCCCCCTTAAATACTTTTGAATTATTTCGAGAGAAGTACCATTCCCCAAGTTTGCGTGTTTTCCTTTTATTTAAGGGAACAGTATTCGGGCCCTAGTCCAGTTCTTCTAAGGGATGTATTTTTTTTCCCAAACTGATTTCTTACACAAATAATTCGCTTTCATGGAATTATGAATGTTTTCTTTCTTCCGTTTCTTCTAGCTCTCTGCAACATTCATCAAATTAAACGGCGATCCAACCAGGTAAGAAGCTCCATTCCAGGACATGTATTTCTTATGGCATAACGCAAGCTCCTAATTTGCTTAGTTAGCAGTTAATTATGCAATATTATTTCTAAGGTTTATAAGGTATACGAAAATATAAAGTTGGTGATCTGTTGTAATTTAAGGGATAAACTAATCCTCACCTATGAGAACAATACAAAATGTTCGAAAAACCACAATCAGACATCAATAATACAGGCATAGTATTGATTTCGAATCGTTCGGTCTGATTGCCTTGGAATATGTGTTCACGTCAATTTTAACAGTAATAAGGCTTTGTCAATTCTTTTTTAAAAATTAATGTAATGCTTGCTTAATTCCTTTTTTGTGTGAGGACGATAATTTTCATATCTGAACAAAGTACGAGGATTAATTATCCTGAAAATGTCTACCACTTACACAATTAAAAATAAAGAAGAAAATGTTCTGTTTTGTTACTGAGATTTAGAAAAGGATTTGATATTAATGTAACATTTCTTCTTCCAATATTCATCTGAAGTATCCGACATTTCAAATTTGACAGACTATAAATAATTGTTACGTTGTTCCTGAACTAACGCAGGAACTGATCATGATTCACAGGAAGCCTTAAATGAGAGTATGAGGCTATGTTGACACTATTCTTGGCTTGCAACCACGTGACAAGGCGGTCATGTTGGTGGTGTGTAGGTGGTCAATACAATAGAGCTATTCCTAGAAGAATTTACATGAAAATAGGATTTAGTTCCCAGAGGAGAGAAATGCTTTTGTTCTTAACCCTAACACACTACCAACAAGGCCGCGGTGACGTCACGTGCAAACCAGCAATACCGGATAACTTTTCGTGAGGACACGAGAGAAAGAGAAACGCTTGTTTTTGTAAACCAAGGTGAATGCAGTGGGGGCCGCTGCAAAACAGCAATACTATTATATTGTTTTAGCCTTGAATTTCTGATTTTAAACTCGCGTAGAGTAAACGTTTTTATCATATGCCCCGTACGGCCCCGCGCGAAATATCGTCGAAACCCATTTCTCAATCTCTTGCTCAAAATCATTAATAATTCATACAAAAATTGAAAAGGAAATTTTCAAACGGTCAATGAGGGTTTGGAAATAAGATGATTAACTGCTCAGTTTTGCATCCTTAATTCCTATTTCTAAAATCATTTTGTTTGAGAAGTAATATCAAGCATTCGACACAGTGTTTCATCACCAGATGAAACACCTAGAATTTCGTCAAAAATACTCCGCTGCGAGTCGTATTTTCAACTCTCTTCTCAGTGTTTCATCACCGTCTCACAAAAGAGGGCCGTACGCGTCAAGTGATAAGGTCGGAAAAACGCTCAAGGCCCTGCTTGAAAAATGGGCGCGAAACGAGGCAAATGCTGTACGAACGTTTTTTGACTCCGTCAGAAAAATTCAAAAATACAGCCGTCATTATGATAAAATGCTTACTGACTCAATCTTATTCTCCTTATGATTGATTGATTGATTTACCGTCTGTCGCCTAATACCGAACATTTTAGACCACTCTAAAATAATCACAAAAGTATAGTTAAAAAGCAATAGCAATAACAGTAACAAAAACACCGAGTAATAAAAAGTCAGAGATGTTAAAAATTGCGTTTTTTAATGCAGCTAGTGAACTGGACAATACAATTTCTCTTGGGAGTTTTTTCCATTCTAAGGGTGGATTTATTTTTATTTCATACATACTGAGTGATTCTGTTTGAGTCAACCTGAGTGAAAACATGGTTCGCGCCTTTATTTAACCAATCCGAAAAGCGAAACGGCTTTTTCACGTGTGAGTAGAACGTTTCGATCAATCACAGCGCACCCACCAAAAGCAACCGTGTTTTCGGTAGCTTTGTGTTTTCATTAAAGGATTTTATTCTGGCAGCTTTGCCAAAAGGTCAAAACGTTTAGCTTTTTGGTTTAGATAATATCTCAAGAACATTGCCAGAAGAAGCTAAATAATGGCTGAAGGAGAAATCCTTCGCTTTCCCGCTTTGCAGAAATCCGTTAACCAATGCAAATTATCGAGAAACCGAAAAACAAACAAACGTTGTCGAAAACTAGACGAGATGTTGGCTTGCTCTCCGAGTTTCTGAAATCCAAGCAAGAAAGCAGAAAAGTAGAAGAGATTCAATCACAGGAACTCAATGATTTTCTGAGTGAGTTTATAGTTACTGTTACTGTTTATAGTAACTGTTTCTACCGTAGTACGGAGCTAGAAATGCATCAAACGAGTTCTCGACTCATCCGATGAGGACAGCCCGCCTGCTGTTACATTTCAGTGACAATTTTTTGTCGAAGCTTTTTTATTGATGGTACTATTCGGTGTTTTAGGGGTCATTTAATGATGTAATCATCGTAGACAGTCGGTAAATTGTATTTCATTTTTTATCAATTTTTTGTCAATATAAGGGCATTTAGTTTGAGCTGGCCCTTGTTTCTTAAATTCGTTGGTCATTTTTTCTAAATAAAGAGAAGTTTTCCTAAAAAAAAGGAGAAATAGTCACTCAGTATGTATGAAATAAATAAATTACTTCATGGGCAGGGGGCTTGTACGGAATTTTCACACTCGTCGTTTGTATCAGAAATCTCACACGCTCGCTGCGCTCCCTCATTCGATTTCTGATACATCACCAACTCGTGCGAAAATCCCGTACGCGCCCCCTGCCCATGAAGTAATCTCTATGTAACATACGGCGTATATCTGTCACATTTGCCTGCTGAATTTTTTTATTGTCTTTAGGCCTAAATTCAATGAAAAATTCTAACGGGCAAATGCGACAGCTATACGCGTATGTTGCAAATAAATCCACTAAAATTGTCCTTGGTCACGATCACGATTACAGGTCACTGTTTTATTTAACAATTAGTGAATGAGGCTGAGTATCTTATGAAGAATTGTGAAGATCGAGGAGGGTGTTATCCCTCGAGGCCGTAGGCCGAGGCGGATAACACCCTCCTAGTTGATCTTCGATAGTGCACGTTTAGAGTTGTTCAGCCCCGCAAATATTCTCCAAATAGGAGACGACGCCACTTCGAGTTGTCGTCTTGCTGTTCTTGCCATGTTTTTATCGATTATTTCGCCTAGTTCTTACTCTTGAAACGAGTGGAATGTCCGCCACTTTTCTTTTCACAACCAAAACAACTCAAACCTCTTTCCTAGGTATTCTCGGTTAACGGTGCCTTAACATGCAAGAAAGCTGCACTTTTGACGTCATCGGTTCATTAAACGCAAAATTCTTCCAAATTTGGTCATCAGTAGCTGGTTATGGTGAATTATGGCGTGGTTTTAGCCAATCAGAATCGGGGAAATATTTTGAATGAATAATAATGATAGTTAAGTAAACCAAGTAATTTCCCCTCGATCAAGAACAACATGTTGGATATGAATTAGGGCTAGAAGACACTTCTGGTATTTATCTGTAGCACGGTGACCTGTATTCTGGCCTGTGGAATGTGACCCGTAAAAACTACCTACCTCTTGGATAGAAGAAGTACACTTAAAATAATCCCTTGTGGCTATCGGCTGCTTGCCGTTTGTAGTGCTTGGGTTCGCATGAAACTCTTTTGTGTTATTGTCCATTTAGGGTGATCCTCGTCTAGAGTTGACAGCAACCCATTTCCTTAACAACAGCCTCGGTATAACACATGGGTAAGAAACAACAAAATTTGCATAGAGGTACAGGCGACTCTCTCTTAACGGACACCGCCATAAGACAGACAACTCTGTAAAACGGACACCGAGAGTTGGTCCCTGCCTTTCCTTACTCCCTTTATTTGACTCTTTATAAGACGGACATCTCTCTAAGACGGACACTTAGTACCGGCCCCAGAGGTGTCCGACGTAGCGAGAGTTGACTGTATTACATACTTACATAAATAATGTTATTTCGAATCAGATAAAGGATTAGCTTCGGGGGCACCCTCTTTTTAAAAATACTTGGAAGTCTGGTAAAATTTATTGTACAGTATCCTCTTTGTCTTTCCGCACTACCAACCATAATTTTTTTGACCTATAATTTCACGCGTGAACAATTTATAATCTATATATACACTGTATGCTTGCTGAAGATCGAGGTGGAGCGTGAGCACCGTACCATTTCAACTATTGGAGCTTTTTTTTTGTTGCTACTAAACGCTATCAAAAAGTGAAACAAAGACGTGACATTTTTTTACTGACATGTGTTTGGCTTTAAATACTTTTGTTTATATACATCACCTCCGAATTGTTTTTTATGGTAATCACAAGCCCTAATTCAGTCTGAATTGATGTCGTTGGACTATTATGACTAAACTCATTAGCCTGGATTATTTTCCATTTCTCTGATCATGACCTTATTGTAGCTTGATTTTTTTTTTTTTAGATCTGAATATGACTACAGTTTCTTGGTAAAACACTCCACAGATTCTCAGGCAGACGCATGTGGCGTTCACGTGACTTGGATGCTGACGCCCTTCGTGAAGATCAGCAAGGTTACATCGTCCTCGCTTGTAGGATCTTATAGGGTGGAACAGAAAGATGATAGTGTGACATTCAAGGCAGGTTGATTTTACATTTTGGTGAACTGACAACGACAACAAATTCGTTGATGTGACACTTTTTAAGTCATGCTTAATCGTTACATTATCTAATCAAAATCAGTCAGAGCCGTAAAGGGTGGAAATTCCTTAAACATGATTAGGGGATACTTCTTTTGGTTTGTTTTGCGAGTTACGCAAGATAATTTGGTTGGCTTTCCCGGCGTAAGTTTGAAAACCTTCAGCAAATAAAGCTGACTGTAAAGTATTGACACCAAGCGCCTGCGCCGAAGGGAGTCTCGCTATTAGTGCCACCCAATAAAGCCATAATTAACAACTCTTTTGTTAAAAATTTCAGATTGACCATACACCGTTGGAAAGCGAAGCACATTTAAACTTTAGTGTTATTTTTGACGGTGAACACTCCTTGAAGACTGGCTTGCATAATATAGTGACCCCGGTACAATTGTTGTATTACAAGGAATACAGGGAAGATCATGATGGACACGTTATATCAAAAGGAGTTGCTTTCTCCAGTCCTTTGCAGACAGTCGCTATTAAAGTCGAAATCCCAGGTAAAATTCTGATTGCGGTAAGCCCAAAATGTTAAGCGAAGGTAAGCTCTTTGGAATTTAATGATTGGTTGGAATTCATGAAGTCGAAGGCTGCTAGGGCTTTTCCACTGGAAATTGAAAGGGTTCCTGAGAACAACTCGTTACCCAGACCGGTTTTTCTGACACAAAAGCACCTATTGGTCACTGTTTTTCCAGTTTCGTGCTATGCATAAATTCATGTTTTGCGCAAAAAACTCCATTTAATTATACAGAGAAGTACTGCCAGCAATGACAGATGGAAGCAGCAAAGAGTCCAGCGGCATAAGTAGAAGATTAAACTTGTTTAAGAACCAAGGAATCTCTTAGTGCCGACGTTTGGAAAAAAACGACTGTCGCGGAAGAACGAAAAGTAAATATCCCGGGGGGGAGGGTACTCCTGGGAATTTTTGGTGGGGGCGTGCTGCCCGGTTCTCCAAATCCTGACCCGGTTTCAGACCAAAAAAGTAATTTTCCACACCTGTTTTCAAACCAGAACTCTAAAATCCATACCCGTTTTCAGACCTGGCCTTTAGGCAGAAATTATTTTTTTTCTTGTATTTTAATGAATTTTTATTTTGGTATGTATTTTTTTTTTGCACACTGACTTATGAACACGTAGGAAAAATTCAAAAAACGGAAAGGAAAACTAAGAATTTATACATCGCAGACTAACACACAATTACATACTTACAAAAAAGAAACAAAGCAAAACACAACACGTAGGTAGACAATACACACAAAACGCACAAATACTCACAAAGCAAAAAACAACAAAGGAAAAGACAAAACGAAAAATAAAACAAAGACAAACAAACAAACAAAGAATACATTACACAACGAAGTTTTAAGAAAGAGAGAAAGAAGGCGGCGAGGTAATTATTACCTATAAGACGCTGCCACAGAGCTTGGGACAATAGCTTCAACTACACCCAATTGTTCTAACCTACACATGCCACTCCCGTTACAAAAACAGACTAATGAAAAGCATAAACAAAGTCAAATAAGACAAACAAAAAGTTCACGGGAGTGAAACATCCACGTCTTCACTCACACATGGTCGCCCCAGTCTCAGAAATTATGATATCGTTACTTCAAATCCATTTCTAATTCGCATATTTTTCTTTCTTTCTTACTCATTTGGAATTGAAGCGATAAAGACGTTCATACAATCCAGTAGTTTCCTCAAAAACCATGCCCGATTCCAGACCAAAATGGACAAAGTGTATACCCGTTTTCAGACCAAAACGGCGCAAAAACCCTACCCGATGGGGCGGCACATACCTATATATAGTTTATATAAGGGAATACACCTCCCCAGGGTAAATATACACTGAAAGTCAAACTTGTTGTTACACTGTCTTATAAACAGGAGCCACGCGAGGCTCTGCGATACACGTCTTTCTAGTAAAAAGTTGAAGGGGAATCAAAGGTAAAATACTGTTTGGGCTTGGACCGACTTCACCTATTAAACGCGTGTTGGTTTAATTTTAGGATGTTCAGCTGCTCTTGGAATGGCGTCTGGTGAAATAAAAGATTATCAAATTACGGCGTCATCCAGTTATTCGGAGACACAGCCAAATCAAGCCCGACCAAGTAAGATTGACTCTCTCTCCCTCCTTCTCAGTCCTTTTCAGAAATGCTCGGCTGGGGTGACCGTATATTAGACGGTTTAAAATATTATCATCTGAAAAATTAGGAATGACATCAGTTGGCGTATTGGGAGAAGGGGGAACTTGTTTCGATCCTGTGTCAATACGAATTAATACGAAAATACTGAGTCCTAACTATAGCCCCATTCACACCGAAGCTTAAACATGTTTAAAAGCTGTTTAGTTGAACACGGTGTGAATTTTCTTTCCTTTATAAAAGCTGCTAACTAACTGAATTGATTGCAAATTTAGTACAAATTACAAAATATGTTGAATTTCATTTGAATCCTGTGTGAAAACCTACATTCCAGTTTTCCATGTCTGTTCTTCATTTGTTAAAACCTGGTTTAATTAAACATGTTTAGTTGGTGTGGATGGGGTATATGTGTCTTCCTAAGTAGTGTTCACTGCACAGTAAAAGGCAGTTATCCTTACATTGAACAAAATTTATAAAATCAACAATTTCGAATTTCCCACAATCATACACTTGCTTGCCCCCACCTCCCCCCATCCCTTAATTTTTTTGCATAAGCAACGTTTTCAAGTTTATTTTGGGACCAGGAGAAAATGGAAAAATTTCATGCTTGAGGAAAAGTTTTGGAGGCAAACAAAGTGTATTAAGGGCCGTTTAAAAAAGATATACATTAAAATGTATAAATGGTATAGCATGAAGGCGTGACAGCAATTCTATTGGTTACAATAAACAGAAATTAAAACTGGAGCAATTAATCACGTCTCCAGCATGGCATCAATTTGATCATATTATGACTGGCGTAAGTAAGGGATTCTCATTTTAATCGGTGGATTTTCTTACTATCAAAGGTGAAGAAAATGATGCGTGGTGCGCGTTTATTACCGACACGCAGCAGTACATTCAGCTGGATTTCACGAGGAACACACGCGTGACACGCATCGTTACTTATAGAAGAAGTCAGAAGTCACATTGGGTAAAGCGTTACATAATGCAATTCAGTAGTGATGACGTTGTATGGCATAATTATACAGAGAACGGGTTTGTTAAGGTAAGGAAAAGTCAGAGCTTTGTCTTTCGAAGAACGCCCTCCCCCACGATCCAAATTTATTGTTAAACACGGATGAAAACAATTTTAATTTCGCTTGTAGGAATTTGTTGGAAACTCAGACAGGTCAACCCCAGTCTCCCATCAGCTTACCAATGAAATCGAGGCTTATAATCTCCGCGTGAGACCGCTGGACTGGGAGAGATTGATTTGCATGCGCTTTGAGGTGTTTGGATGCTTAGCTGAAGGCCCTGGTATGTTTACGAGTTGATGATTGTATTTAAACACACTTAATTGGTATTGAATAAAACGCGTTGCAATGCTGAGGTACAAGCTTAAAATAAAACAATGGCAACTTCGGAGTATTTCTGAAAATGCCGCAGCCGAAGTCCATTAATTTACTGGTTCTATGTCAGCCTTCGACGATTTCTGTAAAACATCCTGCACAGAATTTCCTTTCTATCGCGAGAAAACTGGACCAAAGAACGCAGGTACCAAAGCAGCTGGGACGGGGTGGGTAGGAGGAAGAGTTCGCCCGCTCTCTTCCTTACACCCTCGCGCTGCACATGCGTGTTTGCCTGGAAAAAAGGAAAGCCCGTGAAACTGATACTACACCATGTTCTTGCTTGCTTTCTCCATTCAAGTCATACATAACCAACTTTTTCAATACAGAAAACTGCATTTACCCTCTCGGTCTGGAATCTGGAGAAATAACGGATGAAGCTCTCACACATAGCGTAGACACAACTCTGACTGTTTCAGATCCCTCCGGTATCCGCCTTAACAAGAATCCCGGGGGATTTCCTAATGGATGGCAAGCAGCAATGGGGACACTAGATTATATTCAGGTAGAAAAATCGTAGGTAAACTTAGCAACCTTGTTTTGCTTATGATTATTCCAACTCGCTTACTTTATCAAATATAGGCCAACTCTTCAAGGGCTGAGTTCCTTGGAACGACATCCAAGTTCAGAAAAAGAAAGAAAATTTCGTCGGGCTTTTTAACGTTCTCCATATAACGTGAAATTAGGCATGTTTACGTCGCGTAGTCCTGCAGCGACGGCAAAGAAATGTACAAAAAAGGTGTGCTGCACGTGCAAATTTGTTGTTTTGTTTATTTAATCTATTGCTTTTCTGACGTTATTGTTGTCGTCGCCATCGTAGCCATTTTAAGGTCCCTAGTACTGCATAGGAGCAAAGAATGGTTTAAGAAAAACTTTGTTTTCTCATTTTAGATTGATTTTGGCTCTTTGAGAAAGGTGACAAGAATAGCTACACAGGGATCTGCTGGATCGGATTTTCCATTTTACGTGGAGAGTTTTCAATTAAAGTACAGCAACACAAGCATTGATTGGCTTGACTACAGTGAAAATGGACAGCCCAAGGTGACAATAAACCTTTTAAGAGTTTAAAGCACTTCAAAAGTCAGTCATGGAAATTTGAAATGAGCTTCCTGCCTGTAGCTCCTTAGATCAAATCATTAGACAGTGTTACCATTCAAATGACCAATCCTATCCCACGAGCAAGAGATTTTTCCCTAGACGATTTCACCTTACACGAAAAATGTTGCTTCCCCTTTGAGTAAAATGAGTAAAATGGCTATTTTAACCTCACCTTTTGTTATAACAAAAAAGAGTTTAATTTTAAAAATAACATAGCCCACCAGAATAGACTAGTCTTCCCTCGTGTCACTTCCAGTAAAGCTGTGTCACTAAAATAGATTGTTGCAAACTTAATAAGTTTCCCGTGAAAAATAAAACCTTTCCTGCCTGGCTTAAATGTATTTCGTTTATTGCAAAACTACAAACTATAGTATTGTTGTTGCAGGAACTGAGAGGTCCAAAGGATACACACGAAGCAAAATATTCTGTTGTGGTAAAACTGCTTGAGCCAATCATCACCCGCTTCGTACGCATCATCCCAACTTCTGCGCCGCTTCTCAAAATAATGCGGGCTGAGCTTTACGGCTGCATAGCAGAGCCCATGCCCCCTTATAACGGTAATTATTATATGACTAAGTCAATTCTTGTTTTGTGATCGGTCAATTTTTAATATCCTTGACATTTTTAACATTAATGCATTCTTTGTTGCGTGGTTTATGTACTCATATCATAATAACCTCCTTCCTCATAAGTTTAACACCACCTTTGTTACTAATCGCCAAGTACACACATATAATACTTGAGATGCCAATAACTACCGACCATATTTCTGTAGAAGAAACATTAAACAGTTCACAATCCTCCATCTAGGACCTAAACTTTGAAACTCCCTTCCCCATAATTTTATGGAACTAATCTAGTGACAAGTTACTCTAGTTTCAAGACTTCATTAAAAAAAAAACCTTATCGAGGGCTATAAATTCAAATCGCTTGACCATGATATGGCAGCTTACATTAAATCATAAAAGTTAAGTAACTTAATACTACATTTAGTTTTGAACTTTTTTTGTAGCTTTTCCTGCCATGTAAATTTACAGTCTTAGTTTTAAAATATATATATTTTTCCTTTTCTTTCTGTAATATTTATTCTATGTGGCAAATGTAAAATAAATAAAGTAAATCTGAAATAACTTTATTATTGACTGCCTTGTCGAACGTGTAAAATTAAGCGAAGCACGTGTAACACTGTTTGGCTAACCGAGTGGGAAGTATAACCCTATCTTGGTTGCCCAGGACTTTACCAATAGCTATTGTAGCTATTTCCTGTTTCATAGAAAGAAAGCCGTACAATAAAAGCTTCTAAGCCTCTATTTCTAGGATTTTCGTAGAATTATGGATCGTCGTTTTTCACACGATATTTTCGTCGACTTCCAAACTGTTTGCAGCAGTAACCGTAAAACGAATGCATTAAAACAAGCATCTTTGATAATTCTCTAGCAAGAAGTCTCCACAATAAGTCGAGTGGAAATTCAAGTAAGTTTAAAAGAAACAGCGACTTCTCTGCGGCCAATCACAACAAACTGTCACTAGTTTACATGCACAAATTAGGTTCGAGCCTTAAATTGGATCTTGGCTGGTTTTTACACGCCTGTTGGTGGGTCATGTAAATA